CAGCGCTCAACCGCTGTGCCACCAGGGGAGGCCTAAAATGACATATTCTTAATCAGTATAATTTGATGGGAAATTGTTTCAAATACATTATCTATAAAAGGATGAATAACCAAGAAGTCCTCTAAGAGGTGAGAGCATTTGCAAACACTTTTCTAAGATGACAAGTTATGCAAAATAAGTAAGGTATTAGTTAAAATTTGCTGAAGAGCACTGCTGAACTGAGTTAACAGTTATGGTTAAAGAAAGAATAGCAAAACCCTTTTAATGATTAAATAAAGTAAGTATCATCAGGGTAAGAAATGAGTGTTGAAGAAGAAACCACTTAATTCAGGCCTGTGTGTGTAAAAGCAGTTTGAGCAAAATTCTCTAATATTATGAGTATAAATGGGAAGTGAGACCAGGACATACATTATACTTCAAGGCACAGTGACACATGAGACATGAATGACATGAAAATTAGGTTTGGGCTTAAAGGGCAAACATGAACAGAAAGTGTGGTCCTAATGAGTCAAAACAATTTCTTAATGAGCACAATTCATGCTATAAAAGCATGATATTGCTTTTACAGGTCCATTGGTCAATGGCTTATAAACATGAGTTTGAAACCAGGCACAAGTGGAAGTAGAAAACAAGAAAGACTGCTATACAACACTAGATGACTAGAGGCATGAGCATCATTTGGTGAAGACTGATGCCTGGCAGACCATCAATTAGTGATCCAAAGTGTGAGGTCAAACATCTCCACCAAGTACCTCCAATATGAATTCTATGTTTCACATGAGTCCTCTAGGAAATAAAAGTCTATTACAGAGAGGTGCTGACTCTCCAGCCCTCACATAAAACCTCACTCTAGCCACAAGGCTTTATATTAATAAGCCTCTAATTTAAAAAGCAAACATTTTATGCTTTGAAACAGAACCAGGCCTGTAAACATTCTCCTAGCATGAACCCATCAGAGTAAGCAAAGTTCTATCAAACAATGAGGAAATTTAGTTTATCTTTGGCCAAATTCCCTGTTTTTGCTTTTGTTTTGATCAAAAACACTTTTAAAATTATATTTTGACTTTATTTTCAAACTCAGAGAAGTAGTATACTTGGAAACTAACATACTTTTAAAAAGTAGAGGCTTTGGAACAGGGCAACCCCACAAACCCAAATTCCTATTACCTTCACAGCCAGTCTGCAAAGGTACTGATTTTTGCTACACACCAGTTAGTTCACCAGAAACCCATGTAAAGCACCCAGCACAGTGTCTAGCAAAAAGCAAGCACTCCAAAAACAATGCCATCGGTTTTAGTTTTGTCCTGTTGAAGATGGTAGTAAAAACAAAGCTATGAAAACTTATTTACTATTTCTTTAAAGTTGGCAGATAATTCTATATACACACCTCTCTGGACTAGCATAGTCCCTACAGTAGATGGCTAAAACAGCAACCAATTAATTCCCAATTGAGAATCCTCAACCAGAAGAGGGGTGAGTTAAACTGCTGTCACAATGAACAGCTGTTTCTCCCAGGAAGCTACAAGATCATGAAACTTTCCCCCTTGGTCTACATGGCTGGAGGCAGCAGTCTGTTTCTCCTTTAGCTATTTGAAAGACTCTTAGAGAGAAAGAAAAAAGGAATCTGAGTAGCTTTATCCAAATAGTTATGAGATCTAATGACATTACTAGGCTCTTGTATAAATTCAAGGTTTAACCTTTCATTCAAAAGGGCTTTGAATAAAAATAGACAGTTTTTAATTGCTTAAGTCTAAAATTCTGAGCAATCCTAATGCACAAACATTTTCAGGTACATCACCCACAAACTAAATAATTAAAAATGAAGGTGGCCTAAGTTTTATAAGGGGTAGTTAAATTTCAGGTTAGTCCTATTAAATGTAACTCCTACACTGAATAGGACTCAGTAAAATTCACCTATCTATGGCATAGCCTGAAGTGAAACTCCCTGGCTTAGCATCTAAGTTCTATCACTTGCTAAGTAAACAGGCAAATCACAAGCTCTCTAAGCTTCAGTTTCCTCCTCTGCAAAATAGGGAAAATAGCTATACAATACCACATCTGGTGCATGTAAGGATTAAATTAAGAATTAAATGAATTAAGGATTGAATGAATTAAGATAGCGCCTGGCACTTGGTTGGCACTATAAGTTTTTGCTATTGAAGTCAGTCACTGCTTTATAGATGGGGACATCTGTTACTACACAATTTTATCTATGTATGCCCTGCATTTTACTAGAGATACCAAGGAAAATAAGATAGAAAGGTCTTACTAGATTTAGAAATGAGAATAGTTAAGTATGACAATTTACCCAGACAAATTTGGAGGGAGTGCTCTAGGCAAAGGGAACAGCAAGCCACTTGCCCTGAATTTGAGAGAAAACATTTCATGGAAAATGCCACATGGGGCAGGTGTGGAATAGGACAGTGGCTCTAACTCCTTCTATGCAATACAAAATGCACCTCCACTATATGGTTAAATTTGCTCATTCATGACCAAGAATACACAATGTAAACATATCTTAACAGTATTTTTGTAAAAAGAGAAACTTTGCTTATTATATTTATGTGGATTTCTACAAAGTCCTTCAACATTATTAAAGTTCCATATATGTTGTTAATATTTTAATACTGGCTAGGTGATTTAACCTGGTTTTCAAAGAATCGCAAGAGATTAAACAATAACCTAAAGGACTGGAAGACTTTGACAAAACAAGATATTTTTCAATAGTTTTTGCCAATGTTGACACTGTAATCTTTTAAAGGATATATTATCTAAAATTCAAGGAGTATAACCATACTGGCAGGGAAGGAGGGAAAGAAAATTTGTGTGGAAAATTCACTCCCTTGATATAATCACTTTCCTCCCAGTCTTCTTTATGCATACAGTTAGCCTAAAGAAACCTTCTCTATAAAGTATTTTGATCAAAAATGTTTTTTGAATCCTTTTCCATTCAAATATTTTACTTTCTTCCTCTTTCTACCACTGAGTCATGGAAACCCCAAGTTAGCCACCAAAAACCAAAAGCCCTGTAATACTACCCAGTCTTAGGAAATTTGCCATTGAATCTGGATTAAAATCCCAGTTTGATAACTGACAAACACTAATGGACTTGGTCTCATTAGGAAACCCTCCAATGTCAGTGTTCTTATGGCAGTGTCTTATGTCTAGTTGATAGACACTTTTTAATATATACTGGGTATTATTTCATAAATGCAATTTATACATACGGATGTCATTTATGCATTATTGTCCGAAGGTCATATGACCACATTTAGCTATGATAATTTATTGGAAAGATTCAGAGAACTTAGAGAAGCTGTTCTATTCCTTGTTACAGGTTATGATGGTGAAAGGGCACAGATTAAAATCACAGCTGTCATCTCCTATAGTGGCATTTCATTATATCAGCAATAATGTACAACGTTTATGAAGTTTTGCTAACCAGGGAATTTCTCCCAAACCTTCATGTGCAGTTTGTTTTAAGGGGAATGTCAGTCATGTAGACACACCTCCCCTACATGACTAACCTCAGCTACTTAGTCACCAACAAAAGACAAATGGACAGGATAGCACAGGGCGCCAGGAAACAGAAACAGGTGTTCACCATAAATCACATTTTAAGCATAAATTATCAGGCACACAAAGACACCCTCATCAGGCAGGACAGTTCCAAGGATTAGAGGTGATGCCGCAGAAGCCAGTCAAGGGCCAGTACTTTCTTTGGAATACAACTGGGTTTCAATACCTCAGACTCTCTTAGTTAACTCTTTAAGCCTATACCATGTGCTAAGAGCTATTATGCCTAGGATACATTACCTTACTAAACATTTCAACTCTATTACGAGAAAGAAATTAATATCCTTTTAGACATACAGGAAACAGAGTCTCAGGAATGTTAAACAGTGTCACAGTCACATAACTGGCACAGAATCCAAACTTTGTTCTCTCAGACTGCAAAGCCTTTGCTACTTCTATTAAGAAATGTTACTAAGACATCACAAAAATTATATAATACAGATAAAAGCACACAATAAATATCTTTAATAATCAAATTCATTTCTGGAGGTGAAAAAATAAAGAACCACTGTGAATCTGTGGAAAAACAAGTTCTGAGCAAATGTGTATATATTATACATTAGTTTTCTTTTAAAATATTGAATTTTTATTAAAAGATTATCTAATCAGAACTAAGTGAATATAACAAAGTCCAATAAATTCAGCAAAAATTTCAGAGATGAAAAAAAAACCAGTTCTTTAAATTCAACCTTTCTTTAAGCTTCAAAACTTTTTAATCTCCACATACATTTGCTGAAATACAGAACTGACTTACTCATCTATTAAGAATAACAATTTTTCATTGTAGAAATGTATCGCCAGTTTCCTTAGGGAGGCAACAACGCTTTCTCACTCTTAATATGTATATTTTTTTCCACATCTAATCAGCTAATACTTTTGAAAAGATCTTTTTAATGCCTAAATGAAAGGATTCCACATCAAAGACCTGACCTCCCTACTAAAGTATCTAAAAGAAACCCTAGGAATGTGAAATCCATTCAAAGGCAAATCACAGGTAGCTTATTGTACAATGCATTAAGAAAAGAAAAGGGGAAAAAAGCTTCATAAGAGCTACACAGAATTTGGTAAAATTATACCACAAAAATACAAATTGATCTTAAGTATAAAGAAACAAATTTCTAGCCAAAAACTTATTAAAAAGTGCTCTGTAATCAGCCAGGAGGGGAGTCTTTATGGAAAACTTCAGATTATGTCACTTTTTCAATCAAATTTCTGATTATAGCTTAATGTTGGGAAGGCCAAAAAGAACACACCTTTTTCAGCAGATTTAAAATCTAAAAATTTTAAAGCCAACTTTCATCATTAGAAAAGGTAAGTTTTACTGGAGGCAAGAAGAATGGAAAGAAGCAATGAAATAAAAATAACAATGGAAAAGAAAGCATAAACAATATGTTTTAAAAAACAAATTAGAAGTTTCAACATACCATGAATGAAGTTCTGAAGTTACTCAAGTCAGTAAAAAAGTCTTCCACGGACACCTTCTTCACGTCAATGGCATAGTATCCCATTACACTCTGGTATAACTTTTCCATATTTTCATGCAACTTGAAAAGTTTCTCATATTGTTCTTTTGCACTGATAACAAAGCTGTATATTACCGTTAAGGTATTCTGAAACTTACAAAGCAATGTTTTAGAGGGAAAAAAATCTTGCATTTAATTCCTAATGGTTATCAGTATCTACTATGTTTCTTCTAGAATTGAATTCAAGAACAATTTTATTTCAATTCGCAATTCTGTAGTATTCAGATCATGCAATATGACTTAAAAGTATAGTTCAGTAGTTGTTATTAATTGCAATGATACTGAAATCAGCAACAGTGGTATTAAGCATAGTAATTTATTGGACAACCTGGGATAAATTTATAGTTCCTACACGTAGGAACTGGTAGTTTTGCATCTGTGGGCAATTAACTTCATCTCTCACAATTTCCTCACCTATAAAATGGAAGTAATGCCACCAATCTCACAGGGACATTGTGAGAAGCAAGTGAGCTAATACATGCCACGTTCTTAGAAAAATGAATGACATTTAGAGTACACATGAAGTATTTATCAGTTATTCATTTGAAAAACAAATAGAATTCTAAAAGTTACATTAACAACTACTTATATTGTACAAATGCATCCAAGTTTAACTCTAATTTTAAAAACTGGTAAAGTATATGCATTATGATATAAATTATGACTATACACACACACAGAGAAATGTTCTCTCATTTGTGTGTAACAACATAGTTCAAAATACACTGAAAGTGAGAAGACTTAACAAGTATGATTGTGGTGGCAGGAGAAAACATTTTCTAAACAAACCGGAGTTTCTTTGTGATGTGAAAAATTGCTCATGCAGTTAGTTTCAGCACATTCTGAAAAGATGACTTTTAGAGCAGCACTCATAATTGACATGGCACCTTCAAATTGGGACATTTAAAGGAATAGAACATACTGTATTAAGCTTACTTGTCATTTTATTATCTCTGAATAATGTAAAAGGATACCCAGAATCAGCACAATTTTTTTAAATCAGCAAATTAGTAAGAATAACTGGATTCAAATTAAAAGAAACCAACAAATGGAATATATATGTACATATGTTATGTATATGTATACATATATATGCTATATGCATATATAGCACGCATATATATGTGTGTGTGTGTGTATATATATATATATATATATATATATATATATATATATATATATATATATGGAAAACTTTACTACAATTCCAAAAAGATATGGTTCCTCTGGTCAGAAGCCCTTCATTTTTTTTTAATATTTATTTATTTATACAAGAACTGGGGTACAGGCCAGATGCACAGGAGAGTAAGAGGATTCACCAGAGACAGAGTGGGGAGCAGAACAGGCACACTGACTGAAATACATTGCTGAGAGGAGCAGTGGGCTAGACAGGAAAGGTCTGCTGCGCCATGTGGGATTCTCGCCGGCTGGCCGGGATCGAACCGGCGCTGCAGAGGCGGTGGACAGCTTCACAGTGTGGCGCTTAACCGCCTGCGCCACCAGAGAGGCCCAGAAGCCCTTCATTTAAAAAAAAAATAAATGCTCAAGGAAGAAAGAGGTACCACTGCTGCCAGATAGGCAGTGACTCCAGGATCACTGAAGAACTCTTATTAGAACTCAAGCTTCCCACAAATCACCTGTACCCATGTTAATTTCACAAATTACTTATTGCTCTTTCATTTTTTATATGCTATGCTTAGCTATATATTCGTATTTTATATAAAAAGCTATATATTGGGCCTCCCTGGTGGTGCAAGGGGTTAAGCACCGCACTATGAAGCAATCCACAGACTCTGCAGCACGAATTCGATCCCCGGCCCGCCAAGGAGCAACCCACATGGCGCAGCAGACCTCTCCCGCTGCTCCTCAGCAGTGTACTTCAGTCAGTCTGTCTGTTCTGTTCTCCACTCTGTCTCTGGTGAATCCTCTCACCACCACCCCCCACCGCATCTCTGGCCTGTACCCCAGCTCTTGTATGCATAAATAAATCAACCTTTTAAAAAAAGTAGCTATATATTTATAGCTATATATAGTTTATAAGAAGAGAGTAGAAAAGTAGGGATTCTAATGCAAGTTGATGCATTTATTATATGTAATGTCAACTTTTAATTTGTGGATGAACAAAAGATGACAAAAATTTGTAAGAAGTTAGTCTTATGAATGGCCCATATTCATGAAATGTTATATGTATATAAGTTTATGTAAATATAAGTCACATTTGAAATGCATTCAGAAAGTATCATTAACTGGAAAATGTGATTCATTCATAATGAGAAATAATTAACCTTCATTTACCTAGTAAGTTCAGAAGTCAACACTTTTTTAATCTATAAACACTCACAAAAAAATTACATTCCATATGGAGATTATATCACAAGGATTATTTCCTTAATGTCTGTCTAAAAGAGAAATTGTTTTATCTTTGCTTGTCTAAACCTATCATTCAAGCATTCATTCTACGAAGTTTTCTTCTCTATCCTCTACAGCTAGGAATGATCACTTATTCTAATGAATACACAGTGTTTGTAGTATATTATACTCATCTGCAATGAAGTGGAGTTTACCCGACTAATTCAATTTCCTAGTAGTGCTTTGTTCTTGCCACATTTCGGATCATCTGTCCTTTCTCTAGGTGCTGTGCAATACCTTCTTAGATATATTAAATTTAATCATCTGCAAATCTTTATCATATCCTGGTATCATCACTCTTAAACTTTAGTGGAAAGGGTAACAAGTCTTTTAAAAGTCTAATTAAAGTGATGGAATTTCCATCATAAAATTGTGTATATACATGCACACACATAATTTGGATGTAATGTTAAAAGCTAAGAGAGCCCCTGAAAAGTAGTTATCCTGGACAACATGTTATACTACTTTGTTAGGTTATTTCCAACTGTTAAGTTATTTCCAATTCTATAGCTACTTCTTTTCTGCCCTTATTATGGCTTTGAATTTTAATTATTAGGACCTAACAAAATACTAGTAATTTTATGTTAACACTTGACAATTTGTCTATTCTCAACAACTAATTTGAAAAACAGGTTAAAAAAAACTAAGTATTAATAATAATATCTTAGATGTACAGGTAAGATCATAAGTTAATGATATTAGAAATATACCTGGGCATACTTAATAAAAACTAGTACAATTCCATTAAAAGATATGAATGGAAATAAGATCAAGAGACAAAACTATGGAAATTACATGACCTTGTTCTAACAGCCAGAGAGCTTTCTAAGTTAATTTTCTTATCATTGTTATCTTTAAAACAATTTGCTCCCAAAGGAAATGAAATGGAACTTGGAATAACTGGAATTTTGGAAATAGCCAAATTAATTGTCAGAAGTTTAAAAATGACTGTTTGATAAAATGGAATGAATGGTTACATTAATGAGGTACTCTATGACATTATAAATGAACCCTCTCATTAATAGATGGTAAAACAACCAGATAAATCAGCAGCAGCGGCAGCATTACCATCATCCAAGAGAAACACCAATATAGCTGTTCTTGTAACAATAAAGTACACATAAAGGGAATGACCATGTAAACAGCAATTAAGCTTTAATTATTTTCTTCCCAGCAAGTCCTGTATTTGTACAGAGCTTTAGGGAAATAGGTGAGTTACTTAACAAATAATTGATAAAATTCTTTATAAAATATTGATATATATCCAATTACTCAATGTATTTGTAAAACCTAATGTCTTTTCTTTACCAGAGTTAAGGCGAAATTCTCATGAAATTCTACTTGAATCACCAGAATCTTCCCATTTGAAAAGTGTGACAACCCGATCTGTATTCGCAAGCACTGGGCCACACATACTTTGTGCTGGTCAACTACACAGCAAGACTAAGGTCTGGGATTCTTCTCCTGGTCAGCTAGGACTGCTGATTCCCAACCCATCCTAACACAAAAAAATTGTCCAGGTATTCTAATATTCTGTCCTCATCACTGCACTTTCCCCTCCAAATATGTCTATTACTTCCATTAACACAGGTTAAAACGATCAGCTGAAATCAGGCTATAAATCTAATACCTTACATGAAACATCTTTAAGTATCCAGGGTCTAGCCAGCCAGTCATTTGGAGTGCATTCATTGAGCCCCAGTGTATTCCCCTCTTTCAGAAGGAAAAAGGGAACAATGTCAAGTCCCTGCTTTGTGAAACATGCATTCTACAGCGTGGTGACAGATAGTACAGAAGTAAATGAATGAGCTATTCAGAGAGTGATAGCTATGATGAAGAAAATAAAAATTTGTGATGTTATAGTGAGTGATAGAGGCTAATTTATATTGGGGAGACAGGGAAGTCCTGGCTAGACACTGATACTGATTGAAACAACTGACTGTCACAGAGCAGTAAGCACTAAGTTGTGCAGCACCTCATGAAATCGTGATAGAGAAGGAAAAGGCCTCTCAATATGTGAAGATTCATAAATGATAAGAAACATTAAAAGTTTGTTAAAAGTGGGTTAAATGAAACACAGGCAAGAAAGAAAGACAGGAAAGAGTGGGAGAAGACTGAGGACACAAAAAATCTAATTTTCCAAATCAGTTACCCAGCTTGATCCTCATGTACATGGACGGTGGGCTAGACAAGCTTACATTTCACATTTCACCCATTCCACTCTTCTCTTGTACTTCCCAGCCACAGTTAGATGAAGTAACAATGTACTTCTTTTATCTGAAAAACACTGTTATATGTAGTATGGGATACTTATATAGAAGATGGAAGTCCACTTCTCAAGGAATTGAGATAGTTTTACCATATATGTAGTGATTTCAGCCTAAAATATTACATCATAGTGCAACAACAAAAGAAAATATAATAGGATTACAATGATGAAATTTAAAGACTATACCATGAGGAAGAGTGAAATAATTCACCACCTAAGTTGTGATAAATATAAAAATAAATATAAAAATGCATAAATGTTTAGGAAAAAATTTTTTTTCTAAGAGGCTCAGGAGAGGAGATAGGAAAGAAATATAAAGGTAAATATTTGTGCAAGGAGAATTCCAAGGGCAAAACTCTAGGGTCTATTTGTTATTTCCCTTAAATTAAGAAAAATTTCAGAATTTAAAGGTCAAAAGAAAGGAACAGGCACTGCATGACATAAATCCTGGCATTTTTCTAATATTCTTGCCGATAAGACCTTAGGAAGCATGTATGCATCACAAATAATAGTTTACATATAATACTAATGTCCCGATCTCAAATCCACTTTACATACTTTTCAAGCAAATATTTGCAGCATAACTACTCACTTCTATTGTGTTTCTATCCAGGGTTAACTATTGGAAATAACAATTGTTACTAAAATATCAGTGATATTTTATATATATTTTAAAGAATACACTAAATGTATAATGATGTATATAAAGAAGAACACAAGACAATATGGTATAATTGAATGCTAATAGTAACATTTCATACTCTAACATAATAGCATCATTTAAAACTACTAACATATAGTTCCCTACATCATGATTAAGTATCTACTTATAAAAATGCATCCATATTCCTTACAGACTAGTTGATGAACCAAAACATTTGGTATGTATTTCAACTAATAAGCATGAAAAATTAAAACATAAAGTTAGAGCATTCATAACCTAAACTTTTTGCTTAGGTTTACATGTTTACTCTTGTGCATTTTAGTTTCCAAATTCGTCCATTTCCTAAGATTTAGGAAGCTCACAATTTGTGATTTTAATAAGATCCGTATAAATGCATTTAATATTCAAAATCTGACTTGTCAGTCCTAATTAAAGTAAACAAAGCTTTGCAATGAATGAATTTAATTATTTCAAAACTAGTATGTCTAAGATGAAAAACAAACGAATGCAATCTAATCTCAGCAAAGAATATTTATGATTATAAGCTTTGTCAATAGCAAAGTGCACCAACTGTTCATATATCTGACTTCCAAGAGATACATGCATGCTAATCAGTTCATTAGAGGCTTCTAGGTTGTGATATTTAGCAACAGGATGTACTAGCTTTCTTGTCCATGGAGTGTAATTGTACTCAGAATGAAAAATTGTTTCCAACAAAGAATCATCCTTCCTGTTTCTGATTTCCTGCTGGTTGCTTTTTATGAGCTGCATACCTTTCAAGATGCCGACATCATTCAGCTTCTTGTGTCATATGAATACAAGTATGGATAGGTTCTGAGATTGTCCACTGAGCAGGATTCTCAACCTTTACATAAGCTCAGGAATTCATCATAGGTGATGTGTCCCAGAAACCTAGGCTTCAAATTAGTACACTCACAGTGTATTAGCAGAAACTGCATGCGAGCAAAACCTTCACTGAAATGCTTTCTATCTATAGGGAACAATAAGTACTTCAATTAACAGCACTTAATGATTAAAATAGTCAAATATGAATATTTTAACATGATAAAATGATTGAGGGGAACAAGCTAAGAATGATGAAACTAATGTAACTCTGCAATAACAGATTTAGTTTTAAAACACATACTTTACCATATGAGAAGGTGCTACAAAAATATTTTTTGGTGAAAACATTTAATCTTCAGTTTTTTTAAAACCAACCTTTTCTAGTATAATGATAAAGGCACCAATGCCTAAGAAACTGGATGAAAAGAAAGATACAAAAGAAAACAAACACATTAGCCTGAACTGACTGTTGCTGGAGTGTATTTTTATGATATTTCCCAAAAGAGACACTGAAGAAAGCTAAAAATGAACTAATTCACAATTAAGCTGAAAGCATATACAATAAAATCTATGACAAGCCGAATAATTTCTGCGATTCACTAAATCTCAAGGGAGGAGTGACAGAAACAGGAAAAGCAGTTATTTCAAATATCTTAGTTTACAATAAAATATTAGAAATCTCTTTATAAGAGCTTGTTAGAGTGGGCTATTCGTTCATATAGAATTCAGCAGTCCATATGGGATTTTAATAATTCATAGTAGTAATTCTTTATCATAACAGAAAAGATGATCATTCTCTAACTTCATAGTTATTCAACATTTCAGAAAGTAAAAAAAAAAGTCTATTATTTTAACTACTTATTAGAAATTAAACCACAAAGTCAGAGAAACCAAACATAATTGAATTCAATACTTTAACCTCATGCTATTAATTTTACATACACACACACACACATACACACAAAAAAAATTGGTCAATTTTATTTTGGATTTGGAGACACTTACAAAAGTAGTGATTGTTAGGAATTAAATTTTGATTTTGGAGCCATGTACTATGTCTAAAGGAAATAGTAAAGTTTCTAGAACATAAACTAATTTTTACTAACTACTGTTCAGGAACAGAATATGCTGCTCCAAAGTGAGTCACTTTCACATGTGGCTTATTTTGAGCAGAAGATAATCAAGACCCAGCATACACAGAAATTGTTTTTTTTACCTCTCAATAACCTAAAAGCATTTAGATAGAGGACCTAGCCCAGTGAAAGCAATTACCAGTGATAACTTTATTTTTTAATCTGAAAGACTTACCTGCTTGGTAGAGCAAATATCCAAATACCAAATATCTTCTTATCTTCCTGTGAATTGCCCTCCTCCCCTTTGATGTACCAGATCCAGCCCACATTCCTTAGCACAGGGTGGCATGTTAGTCTTAATTGCTGGATTTGCCATTTCTCTTTCTCTCTTTGGGCTCCATTATGAAATTAAAATTACTTTTATCCTGTTAATCTGTCTTTTGTCAATTTGATTATTAGATTGCCAAAGAACTTAGAAGAAAATAAGGGAAAATTCACTCACTCCCAATAAAACCAAACCTTAACATTTAGTTGACTAGTTAAACCAGTTTATAAATCTTTATCTCCTTCCTGAAACATTTCAAAAGTATCTATATCACACCATGATGCTAGATTAAAATGTCCTCAAATTGAGTTTTCATATCCTTTCAATTTACCACAAACATCAGAAGGAAGCAGGGCATATGGAAGGGAGAGAAGAGAAAAAAATATTACCCAACTTGATAAAAAAGAAAAAAAGAATTAAAATCAGTAGAATGCACTTGTATATTATTCATGATAGATTGAAATGTTGATAAATTTCCCAGCAAAAGGAAATGGTTAAATCTTCTACAAGTTGGCACCCTAGCATGATCTCTGATTATGTAAAAATACCTAAAAACATAAAATAAATTGTAATTCTAGTTGACTAGTGACTTAAGTTACTTCAATATCAAAAGGATATGGACATCTTTGTCACAAACTTATCATGCAAGTCCTCAGGAGGGGGAAAGGTTTCCAAATCTTTCTCAAGCTGTTGAAGCTGCCTTCCCATCTGTTTCAAATTCTTTTCCAGCATTTCTACAGAGACTAAAAGAGAGTACATTAAATGCCTTGAAAGGACAAAATTATAATATATAAAAGGTAAAACACTCTAGAAACAAAACATTTGTGACAAACTGTAAAATAATGTTAGAAGAGTCACTATAACAAAAGGAAGAACTATTTCACTAATTTCTTTTTTTTTTTCCTGAATTTTTAAATCCACACATAAAGGAACTTTAACAAGAGTTTTCAAGACTTAAGATGAAATTTAGGAGTGCTTACATGAACAAATTACATTTAAGAAATACGTTTTAGTTAAACTTAGAGTACTTGACCTCTATAAACATGACAAGATCATCAGCGTATTCAGGTGAAGTGGAGCTAAGAAAGAGTCCGTTTTTAAATTAGATCTATTTTAGTATAATTGAAATGTTCTCAAAAGCATTGTTTCTTGAGAGAAAACAGTGATTAGTATATGAAGATGGGAAAGACTGTTTTCTATTGTCCAAGGTGATCCATCATAGGAACGAAATGGTATCAGAGGGTGAGCAACATGAAGAACAAATGTCAAACCTTCTTTACTGGGACTCAGAGAACAAACTGTTATCTAATAAGATTTGCCTTCTTTGACTTAGTTATCATTGCAGGGCACAAGAAGGAACAAAGGTAAAGCAGAGCACTAAGAAACTTGCAGAATGTACTGGTCACCCAGCAGGGCATACATTAAAAATATCTGCCTAGAATTTTTTGCTTTGTCATTTTTACATAAGATACCTAAACAAGGTGTAATGGCTAGCACCATTATCTATCTGCTTTTGGTTCAGATGAATTTCAGTAACAAAACACTTGTTTTGTTTCCCACTAATGTAAATTATACAAAATAATGTTTAAAAGTACGTATAATAAGGCAATTCTAGGTAAGCTACCATTTTCAGATTTCAAGTTTTTCCTGACGAATGGGTGCAAGACAAGTTTCACCTAAAAGAATCAGACACTATTTGGAAACAGTCTACATGCCCAGCAAAATGGGACTGAGTTAAAAACAAATTAGGTTTACAACCTTGGCTCAACAGAATAGAATCAAAGGGAGGTATGAAATATAACATAAGAACAAGAAGCTTTTTGATTTTCAACAAGCTGTACAAAAAAATAACATTTGCTATTCTAACATACTAAGAGCTATTACTAAATCTTCACCACACTTTATTGTAAATACTATTAGTAAGCTAATTCTCAGATACAATGTTTAATAAATCAACTGAACTCTTCAGAAAACCACATGATAGGTGCTGGTGCCAAATCAATGATGACACTTCAATCTTCAGTTCTCACTGAAGTCATTCTGAACTTACACTGGCACATATTTTCTCCCTAGCTTTTTTACTACTCACGTTTCCCTTTTCTGTGATCCTTAAGATTGAGACAATAATCCAAGTAATAGAGTGCAGAAAATGTTTCTAAATGATAGCATTTAGTGTATTAATTAATTCAGTCTACTTAACTCACATCCCCAGTATCTTGCTGTACACTGCTCATGTGGTAACATGTATTTCCTATGCTATGCTCTTTCATTTTTATATCTGTCAATTATTCAAAACCAGGACATCCATTTGATTAGGTCTATGGTGTTTCAATGACACCTCTCATTTCCAAATGTTTTTGTGCTTCTTTCAAAGTTCAGTATCTGCATTATAAGCAGAGATTCCTTTTACTCTTCTAGTCTATTTGATCTCCTCTCTAAAATCTCATTTACATTTCCTCAATCATTTCTCAAGCACTCCTACAGGTAGTACAGTTACTTTTGTACTTCCCTAAACTTTGAAATTTCTCATTAAACAAAAGTTCAAAAATACATAAAATCATTTCATTAAGTAAATGTATTCAGGAAAGTTTGTAAGTTATGCAACCAATTTATGTTATGTTATGAATTAGGTTCAGAAGAAGTGTATTAATAGTCTAGTACCACTAGTAGTTGTAATGGTGATGATGTTAAGAATTACAACAGTGAAGCTAGCAGCTAAAATTCAGTCTTTATGTATGTTAGGTAGTGTCAAGTGTTTTCCATTATTTTTTTCAAAATCTTCACAAGACCATCATGAGATAGGCATTGTTATTACTACTGTTTTAACGAGAAAACTGCAGTTGGGTAGCTGAAATAAAAGTCAAAAAATTAAATGGTAAAGCCAAAATTTGACTGAGGTGGTTAAACTTCTTGACTTTAGTTTTAACTATTCAGAAATTATTACAGAAATTATCACATTACTTTTACCACCCCTACCTGCCAGTCAGTAATACCACTTAAGTACACATGTCTTGTACAATTATAAGTAATCCACATATGGCTTCATCTGAGACAACAGACCTGGGCATTCTGGATAGATTAACAGGTAGATGTACTACTATATTTTTGAATGAGCATTTACTAACACACCATTGAACAAAACCACATAATTAAAATATGATTTAGTCTGCTGACTTAATTTTATTATGCATACACATCAAGTTTTGATAAATAGCTAGAAAAAGAATAGAAGTCTGAAGAGCTACCATGTAACAAGCACAATGCAACCATTGGGAGGGAACATAGAAATGACTTTTTTTAAAAGATTTATTTATTTATGCATACAAGAGCTGGGGTACAGGCCAGAGGTGTGGGGGTGAGAGGATTCACCAGAGACAGAGTAGAGAACAGAACAGGCAGATTGACCAAAGTTCACTGCTGAGGGAAGCAGCAGGTGAGACAGGAGAGATCAGTTGCGCCATGTGGGTAGCTCCCTGGCTGGCTGGGAATTGAACTAATGCTGCAGTGGCTGTGGATTGTCTCATAGGTTGCGTTTTAACCCTTGTGCCACCAGAGAGGCCCTGTTTTTTTTTTTTTTAACAACATGTACATGATTCCAATTCTCCAACATCAAGTATCTTTCAATTCAATTCTGATACTAACTACCTGGAGTTAGGGCAGACGCCACAGGTTTAAGGACTAAGTTCCAAGAGAAAGCCCTCATTTCCAAAAAGTGACTTGCCCTGGGACAAAACATATATCTGACCAGTTAGACATTCTGGGGTTCCCATGACTTCTTCACCCTATTTCCTCTAATTTGCTAGGATGACTAAAAGAACTAAAAATGCGCTACATTTAGCTGTTACAAGTTTTAGTAGAAAGGATAAAAGTCAGGGACAGTTAAATGGAAGACTTGCATAAGGCAAGCAATGGGGGCGTTCCCATGCTCTCCTCAGGTGCACCATCCATGTGTCCACCAAAACAGAAGCTCTCTTAGCCTCCTTTCAGAGTTATTATTATTTATTTTTACATCATTGTTCATTTTTAAACAATATTTGCTTCCCCCACCAGGTGTATTCCCCATAGAATTTCCTTCACCAATGCACCCGTGCACCATCACCACAGTCTCCTGTTCTTATTAAAGCTCCATCACAGAAGTACAGTTGATTAAACCATTGGTCATTGATGACTGGGCTCAATCTCCAGCCCCTCTACCCTGCCTGGAGGTCAAAGGGTGGGTTGAAAGTTTTAATCACATGGTTGGTACCTTTGGCAACCAATGCTAACTCTCCCCCCAACTCTCTTTCTGAAGCTATCCATCCTTCCACCATCACCTGCTGTGAGTCATCTCTTTAGCGTATGAAATAAATTATTTTTATCACTTAAGGAATTCTAAAAATTTAAGGAAGTCTATGTCAGGAACTGGGAAAATAATCCAATACTTATTTTTTACTACACACCACATGGACAGAGAAGTATATGTCTGGTCAAAGGGCAGAACTCAAAGGGCCTGTGAGGTGTTGTAAAAGAAGTATATTTTTGATTCATGAGATGTCATCCATAGAGCTGTCTTACAGCTTGGGCTGCCCTCAGAGGAGTCCAGCTGCTTGTAACTGAACACAAAGCCCATCCTTCTCAATGGGATGAGAGAAGACTTGAAATTTAGATGAAAGAATGTATCAGGTCATCCTGATTCTTTTCCTACTCTTTGGTAGCCAGTGGGTCAGTGACTATTTTCTATCATTGAGATTTGAAGCAACTGCTCACTGGTTCAATTTCCACTTTTCACATCAGTAAAATTGGAAGAACCACACCTTATATTTTTACCTCACAGATAGTTCATACAAGATAAATGCTATAAGATGAAGAATTTTTTTAAGTACAGTATGTAGTGTTACACTTATTTTTAGAACATATAGAGAGATGAAGAGCTTATGGATTGAAATAATAGGAGAATTAAAGAAAAAGTAAAGAAAATCATTACCATGTGCATCGTGTCAGGACCAGTGCTATGCAAGTATAAAGAAAAAAAGGCTATATAGAAAAAAATCTAATTTCAAGAGTAAATATATAAGGAATGTTTGAAGCATATTCAAGCATTGAAAGTTGACATTATAAACAGTAAGCAAGCTATGACTGCTTTGTTAGAAACCCTAAAAGCATTACTACGCTTCATCAGCAATCTCTGATTACATCACTTGGTTGTTATAAGAGCATGTAACTATAATGGAGCGACTTTTCACTGTTAGTTGCTTTTTAAAAAATAAAGAACCAAAGCACACTTGAAAGAGAGAAGAAAGGCATGGGCAATTTATAAGTTAATAAAATAGGGTCTAATGTGTAAAATAAAGAGTATTTAAAAATTCCATTGGTGCCCTTTTTTTAGCAATTATATTTCCGTAGATAATCCCTTCACATATCTTCAAATATAAGTTTAGCTACTGTTTTCACATATGTCAAGTTCTTTGATGCCAGTGACTATATTACTTTGCACTCAAAATTGCAGCTAGAGTGGAGAGTTTTAAATTGTCCACCTTCAAAGAAGTGATAATTTACTGTTGTCTTTGTATGTGACCTGTGTATGAATTTTATCTTTTAATTTTGTCAGATCACTTGACCAAGAAATTAATCTTATTTTTTATACCTTTTTATTATTTAGAAGAAAACATAGCTATCATTAAACAGAGTGGACTAGATTAAGGCAATTTCACTTCTACAATCTACTTAGTTCATATTCAATCAGATGGGTGTTTCTCAGTCACCT